TTGAAATAATATTAAATCACTTTATTTGCAGTGTAATGACCTTATTACATAAAATTCTAGCACTTTTCTCTCCTATTTTTATGTTGTTATTTTTTATGTTTTCAATTTATGCAGATGATATAAGCACACAAAACATTACATAAGTGGTTTTTAAAAGATTGTAAGTATCATTAGAGCAATTCAAAATAAGAAAAAGTGTTTTACCTTCATCTATTCTATTTCCAAACTCTTGACATACAATATTCCCTTCTTCTGGAATAACTTCCTGTAATATTTTAGACTGTGTCTGGCAACATGTGAATCTGCTTTTGTCTAAGGAAAACTTAATTTCTACTTCCTTTGAAGAACACTTTGGTTGGTTATAGTAATGTGGGCTGACTTCTTTTCTTTCAGTACTTTAATGATAATACATTGATCTCTTGTTTGCATGGTTTTTCCTAAGACTACTGTAATTAAGTGATCTTTGTTATAGGATGGTATTGTGTCTTTCTCTGCCTGTTTTCAAGATTTTCTCCTGTTGTTGATTTTCATGGTAGAAATATGATGTGTATTATACTTAGGTAAATTTGTGTGTGTCTGTGTGCATGTGCTTCTTTGGGGGTTGAGGGAGGTATATATCATGTTTATTGTTCTAGTTTGTTTATTGTTCTGGTTTGTTGTTCTTCAGTAGTGTAATAACTTTTATCCATCCGAGATTTCTACCACACCACAATTGGTGGGTTTGATATTGTTTATAGCCCTTGGATGTTTATTCTTTTATAAATTTTTCTTTTTACTCTTTATGTTTCATTTTGGGTGTAATTTCTATTAGTCTATTTTCTTTTTCTTTTTCTTTTTTTTTTTTTTTTTTTTTTGAAACGGAGTCTCACTCTGTCGCCCAGGCTGGAGTGGTGGCACCATCTTGGCTCACTGCAAGCTCCACCTCCTGGGTTCACGCCATTCTCCTACCTCAGCCTCCGAGTAGCTGGGACTACAGGCGCCCGCCACCTCACCTGGCTAGTTTTTTGTATTCTTTAGTGGAGACGGGGTTTCACCGTGTTAGCCAGGATGGTCTCAATCTCCTGACCTCGTGATCTGCCCGCCTCGGCCTCCCAAAGTGCTGGGATTACAGGCGGGAGCCACGGCACCCAGCTATTAGTCTATTTTCAAATTCACTTATTCTTTCCATGGTTGTATCTATTCTACTGAGAATCCTACCAAAGACATTTTTCATCTCTTTACTGTTTTTTTATTTATAATATTTTTGATTTTTTTCCTATACTGCCTATATCTCTGCTGAAGTTGCCTATCAGATATCGAATGCTGTATATATTTTCTGTGAGAACTTTTAATATACCAACCATATTTGTTTTACATTTTCTGTTACATAATATCAACTTTTGTGTTATATCCGAATCTATTCTGATGATTTTTTTAGCTGTTAGCATTTAACTGAGATTTTCAGCAGTAAAGATTTACTTCCTTGCTCCTAAGCCATGTTCATGGTTCTGCTAATGGTTCAATAGTTTGGAACATTTGAAAACATATTCTCCAAGATAACAAGCAACCACACAAGAATGTAGCCAACACTTCAATAAGACTTATATATGTTAGAGAATATATGTAGTAACTGAAATACTGCATTAGTTAATTTATCCAATAAATTAGAAAACTGTCAGCTTTAAGTGTAACTTAGGTTAGGATGCAAAAGGGGATCACAGATGGTTCAGGCTGCAGCATTTTTCTGCCGCCCAGGCCACTTGTCTGGCACACTTTAGGCTCTTAAGGACTCTGAAGGAAGTCTCTGGAAAGCCCCAAATGGTAACATTATACAGACACTTGATTCTTAAAATAGGAGCATTATTTGTTTTTCACAAACAAATTTGATATGCCATTAGCCAAAACTGAGACTCTCACTATAGAACATTAAGTGATAACTGACTGAAATGTGTACATTAAAAAGGTGAATATTACTAGATAGCTAATCTGGGAGTTACAACAATGATCCATGGTAGAATGGAAATACTATAATAAATCAATTTGTGTCCATTAAGAAATAATATTACATTGTATATATATAATATCACATTTCGATGTATATAAATTGAATAATACATAATGAAATAATATTTAATGCGGTATACACAGCTAACACAAATGGATTATTATTGTACCATGAAAGAAATGGATCCTGTCATTTTCAACAACATCAGCGGAATCAAAGATATTATCTTAAGTGAAATAAGTCAGGCACTGAAAGATAAATGTCACATGTCCTCACTCAAGTGGGGTAGCTAAAAAAATTGATCTCAGAGAGATAATGAAGAGAATGGTGGTTACTGAGGCTGGGAAAGGAGTAGGGATGAGGAAGATTGAAGATAGATTGATTAATGGGTAAAAACTAGAGTTAATAGAAAGAATAAGATTTAGTATGCAGCACAATAAGGCAACTATAGTTAATCATATCTTCTTGTATATACATTTCATATAGATAGAAGGGTAGATTTGACATGTTTCCCACACAGAATAAAGACCAATGTGTGAGGTGATGGATATCCCAATTATCTGTTCTGATTATTACACATCATATGCTTTTATCAAAATATCACACATACCCCATAAATATGTACAGATATTATGCACAAGAATAAAGAGGTAAAAAGTTATTTGACTTAAATAGGTCCAGAAAAAGTATAGCAAAAGTATCAGATTAGCATGTCATTCAGGCCTAAAATTACCTATCTTTGTTTCACTTGATGTTTTTCCTTCAGCATATAATTATGACTCATCACTGCCATTTATGTCAGCAGGAGAGAAGGAAAAAATCCACAAAGGATTGTATCAGTATTTTGGGTGTGAAAGAAAGAATCAACATGCTAATACAGCTCAGCCCAAAAAGACTCAAAGGACAGGATGAGAGTAGACACGTTTTTAGTGGACATATACTTGAAGAGCTGATGAGAGAAAAATGGTTAAAGAGAATTTTGGCACATGGATACTGACTTGAGGAGAAGACATCATCAGAGACAAGATGGCTAGAGGAATGCCATGCACGGGGACTCTTTAGGATGAGGAACATGGTGGCTTTTAGATTTTGTCTTGTGCCTCTGTCCTCTAGAGTACACTTTCCACATAGGAGGTGCTTGATCATCTTGTGTGGAAATGACTCTCTTCCAGTGAAAGTCAGTCTCAAACACTCTACAGTATTTGCACAGTGGATCTATGCAAGTGAAGTGACCCAGGCATCTCAATCCTATTGGCCCCTCTTATCCAAGGTAATGACTACTGCCGCTGCTCAGTATATGACACACTAGAAACAGAGACTCAATGTTGAACCTTAGTATCATATTTCTTGAAGAGATCAACCAGGTACTTTTGTGAAAGGAATTATATATGATTACTTTCTTAACTTGAGATTTAACTATTTGTCCTGAATGAGATTAGTATGTGTTCTAGGTATGCATTTCTCTTTTCTGGAAGACATTTGCTCTATGAACACTCATGTATAGAATCACCATGATAGAATCAGATATTTATTACTATCTTGAATTAATAAAATTGAAATCTGCAAAACATCATCTCAGACTGCACCTAACATAGTGGTAAATAATGTACAAGAATGCCTCCTGAGCCAAAGGATCTACTTGCCTTATTGTACATCATTCAGAAGATACTATCATGATAAATCATTGAATCGATTTTTAAAGGTTCAGTTAAAATTTGTTAACAGTATCTAGAAACTTAGAGAACTGTTTTTCAAAATGTGGTAATGTATGTTAAAATCACACCTATTTGATGGTGTGAGACATGAGGATTTGTGGACTAGGAACTGAGTGAAACAGAATTGGCTGGCTCTTACCAAAACCTACTTACTGATTTGAAACACAGTCTACGTAATTATGAAAGTCTAGGTAAATTCACAGGTAGAATGGTCACCTCTTCAGGGACAGAGCAGGGTCTCAAAGAACTCCAGATCTAAATCCAGGACTGTTAACTAATCATTTTTGCCTCATGCTTATACTCAACAGAATATAAAGGAGTTACAATGATGTCAGAAGTAATCATCCCTAGTTATCATAAAGGGCCAGGATTGCTATTGCACAATGGAGCAGTGATAAGTATGTCTGAGATTCAAAGGAGTCACCAGAACACCTCTTGGGACTTACTTGCTTGGTACAACAACCATAGCCTGTCAAGCAGTCATGATATCCGTGACCCCCAAACACCCCATGTTAAAGGCCTTGAATGACTCTCTACCAAATAATCAACTTAGATAGCAGGCATGCAGAATAATGGTATGAAATCTAATGAGTAATAACAAAGAAAATTGATGATCTGATGTAGACTAGCATCAGCTATGTTATAGTATGCATTTCTTCACTTGACTTTGTTATAATTATTTTACGCGAAATTAAGATGAGACATCAACTTGTAGAATCAGTGAAAATATTTATTTAATATGGGGTGTAATGGAGGTGAGTGATGCAAGATGTGACATCTCTATCAGATACCATCAGTGCTCCACTCATCTTCTATTGTCCTACTTCAGGGTTTCTCTGCCTGGGGGCATTCTATAACTGCAGGAACATTTCTGGTTTAACAAATGAAGACAGGCTGAAAGTGCAAGGGTTTAATTATCCATCAGAAACCTTCAGCTACTTAGGTTCTAGAGCTGGTGAATCAATGTCCCATCTTCCTTATGCCTTTGTGAGACAATTTGGAATATGTGTTATAGAGTCCCCCAGTCATCCTCAGAAATAATCAATTTGTGAACAGTTTTTACTGGATAGTCTTTTGTCCTCCTTTCCTTTTTCTGATCCCTCACTATGATTTCTGAGATCACCTCCCAAATAGAATATGTGCAACTAGATACTTCTTTTAGAGATAGTTTTTGCAATAACCCAAATTATGACATCCTCTTTTTGTTAAATAATAAAATTTTAGTTCATAACTAAATTTAATACAGATTATGTCTAATTACGCCTTCTGTACAGATGTTTATCAAAAATATATTGAGATCAAAATGATGAACTCACATTAAAAAGCTGTAATAACCAGCAGATTAGGTAATGGGCAAACCTAATGGTTTTCTGAAGATTAAAATAACAAAATTAAATATATATGTATATGTATATATATGACAGAATTCCAGTGCAATTATAAAATAATTCATATATTTATGGCTATGTGTTTATGTGTGTTTATAGACACATAACACAACTTGGGTCTTTTACATTGCATTATTTTAGTTACATATTATATAGCCATGCAAATCATGTGACTGGAAATACTGAGGTCTGCAAACTCATGGTAGCAATGAATATGGGACCACAACTTGTGATTATACATTCCCTGTGAAGCAAAATACATTGAATGAGACTTCAGTGTTCTGTCATACTATCATACCTGTATAAGTGCTTATTTGTTTTCTCTAACCCAATTTATAAATAGTTATAACTAAGTCATACTTAATCTCTCAACATGCCTCTTAAGGGGAACATTGACTTATATTTATTGAATTCTTAAGTAAGCATAGGCCACTTATTTAAGGTTTCTGCCAATGTCTATAACAAATACATTGTATTATTATATAATATATCAATAATTAGATATCCCTTTTAACATAATGTAAAATTTATTGTAGAGTATTAAAACTATGTTTTTCTTATTCAACTTACTGTTTGAAGTAGAAGACAAGATGGGCATACATTGTAAAGGTCCATTATATTTACCATATTTTCAAAGAGAAATAGTGGTTCCATCACGTTTTCAAAGAAAAGAAAACACAAGAATTTAGGGTGGAATTTAAAGAAGAATCAAATTGCAGTAACATACATTTATTTATTATTAGCATTATTTTGGGATATTGAAATCTCACATATATTAGAAAATTTGGAACTTAAGACATGGTAAGACTTTTAGACCACGCTAGATAATAATTCAAAATATCTAGAGGTCAGAAGATCAAAGCATCATTTCTCCCATGGGCCTTTTCCTCACACACTCCTGAAAGAAAACATGACGATCTCCATTCTTATATTAAGGTGAGAGATAATTGAGACTGACAAGAGGAGATAGAATACTTGCTTAAATTGTTGTTATTATTTAGTTTTAGAGATTTAGGAGTACAAATAACAAAACTGCACTTGTACCACCTAAATCTCTCCTCTCTCTCTTTTGAGACGTAATCCTCTCTGTCTCCTGGCTGCAGTTCAGTGGCGCATCTTGGCTCACTGCAACCTCTGCCTCCGGATTCAAGCAATTCTCTTGCCTCAGCCTCCCTGAGAGTAGCTGTGGATTACAGACATACTGCCATGTGAAGTTTTTGCCATGTCATGGCTGGTCTCGAACTCCTGACTCCCAGATGACCACTGCTTCTGCCCTTCCAAAGTGCTAGGATGCAGGCATGAGCCACTGCTACCAGGCCCTGTAATACTCTAAATCTCTAAGAATAAAATGCAATGGATATATGGCACAGTGGTGAGGTCTGGGCATTTAACGTACCCATCACTCAATTAGTGAACATCGTATCCACACAGATAATTCTTTTCAGCCTTTACCCCATGCCACACTCTTTTTGAAAATCAGTTTATTATTCCACTTGTATGTTCATGTGTACTTATTAGGTTACCTTCTACCTATAAGTGAGAATGTGTACTATTTGACTTTTCTTAGTTATTTCACTTTAAGATAAATGACCTCCAGTTCCATTCTATGCATTGAGTATTATTATTTTACCTGTTGTCTTTCTTTTTTTTTTTTTTTTTTAATGCCTGACTGGTATTCCATGCTACATATACCACATTTTCTTTATCCAATTATCTCTTGATAGACAGTTAATTCTGTGACTTTGCTAGACATATGAATGAAATAGTAGACATGTGAGTGCGGGTGCCTTTTGATATAATGATTTCTCTTGTTTTCTTTTATCATTATTTTTAATGTGGTTAGTAGAAATTATTTTTCATCCTTGATTTTAGGTTCAGGAGTCCATGCTGGCTTATACATGGATAAATTATGTGTCACCTGGGGTTTGGTGCAGATAATTTTGTCACCCAGGTAATTAGCCGTAATACCCACAGGTAGTTTCTTTTTCAATCTCATCAGGTAGATACCTGTGTAACTAGATTGTTTGATCAAATGGTAGCTCTACTTTAATTCCTGAGAAATCTGCATACTGTATTCCATAGAATTATACAGCATTTTCACTCCTACCAACAAAGTAGAAGCATCCCCTTTGCTCTGCATCCTTGTCAGCAAATGGTTGCTTAATTTTTAAAAAATAGGTATTCTGACTGCATAAAGTGATCTCTGTTTGTGGTCTGCAGATTTTACATTTCCTCTCAATTTCCATAATGTTGAGCATTTTAATAAGGTGTTGGTAATTTGTATATCTTGTTGTTGTTATTTTTAATAAACCTGTTCATTTTATTTACTCACTTTTTAGTGGGGTTGTTTTTCCTTTGCTATTTCTTGAAGAATCTGGATATTAGTCCTCTTTTGCCAGATGCACAGTTCACAAATACTTTTTTTTTTTTCCATTCTGTAGGTTATCTATTTAATCTGGTTTATAGTTTCTTTTGTTGTACAGTAAACGTCAGTTTAATTGTCCTATTTGTATATTTTGGTTTTGATGCGTTTGCTTTTGAGACTTAGTAATAAATTATTGCCTTAGGTCAACATCCAAAAGAGTTTTGTCTAAGTTTTCTTTTAGACTTTTATAGTTTCAAGTCTTATATTTAATTCTGTTATTCATCTTGAGTTAATTTTTCATATGTTGGAAATATAGGGGCCCAGTTTTATTCTTCTGCATATGGCTATCTGGTTTTTCTAGACCATTTATTGAATAGCATGTCCTCTCCCCACCACGATTTTTTTACAATAACATTGTCCAATATCTCTTGGTTATAGTATGTGGCTTTATTTCTTGGCCCTTTGTGTTCCATTGATCTATATGTCTATTTTTATACCATTACCATGTTGCTAGGTTACTTTGAAGATCATGCAGTATAGTCCAGTGATTGTGATGCTTCATTTGCTTTTTTACAAAGATTGCTTTGTCTCAGGTTCCTTTTGCTTCTGGGATGAATTTCTTAAGATGTTTTTATAATCCTGTGAAAATGATGCTAGTATTTTGATAGGAATTTGTTGAATCTGAAGATAGCTTTAGGCATTATGTCCAACTTAAGGATATTGATTCTTCCAATCCCTTAGTGAGGAATATTTCTACATTTCTTTGTGCCATCTATGACTTCTCTTGGCTGAAAAGTGTTTCAGATCTTCTTGTAGAAATATTTTAACTCCTTGCTAAATGTGTTTTAGGTATTTTATTTGTTGTAGCTATTGAATTGAATTATTAATTTTGCCCTCAGCTTGAATGTTATTGGTGTATCAATATTGCTATTGATTTTCATACATTGATTTTGTATCCGGAAACTCTACTGAAGTCACTTATCAAATCTACAAGTCTTTTGGAGGAGGTCTTTGTATTTTCTATGTATAAGATTATATCATCAGTGCATAGAGATAACTTGATTTCCTCCTTTCCAGTTTGGATGCCTTTTATTTATTTATCTTGCCACCATGGCCTAGATAGAATTTATATTGCTATGTTAAATAAGAGTGGTAAAACTGGTCATCATTGTTCAAAGCAGTACTCATCACTAATGCTTTAAAATTCTCTCATTCAGTATGACGTTATTGTAGTTTTTTTGTATACATTTTTTAAATCGCTTTTGAGGTATATTCTTTCAATGCCTAGTTTATTGATAGTTTTTATTATGAAAAGATGATAAATTTTATCAAATGCTTTTTGCATCTATTCAGATGACTGCGTAGTTTTTCCTTCATTCTATTTGGTGATATAAGTTGTTTATTGATTTATGTATGCTTAAATAATCGTGGTATCACTAATAAAATGCAATTTGATTGTGATGTATTATTATCTTTTGATGTGTTGTTAAATTTAGTTTGCTAGTATTTTGTTGAGGCTTTGCATCTATGTTTACTATGGATGTTGGCCTGTGGTTTTCTTTTTTCTTTTTGGTTTGTTTTTGCATGTAGTTTTGCATCAAGGCAATATTGGCTTCAGAGAATGAGTGAGGAAGAATTCATTTCTCGATTTGGGAATATTTTCAGTAGAATTGTACCAATTCTTCTTTGTATATCTGGTAGAATTCAGCTGTGAATTCATCTGGTACCCGGGCTTTTTTGTTGTTGATGGGAGAGGGTTTTTGGTACTGATTCAATCTTACAGAACTGCTATTGGTCTGTTCAGAATTTATATTTTTTCTAGTTCAACATTGGGAGTTCATATGCATCCAGAATTTGGCTGCCTTCACATGTTAGAGTTTGTGCTTATATAGATGCTCATACTAGCCCTGACAATATTTCTTACATCTGTGGTATCAATTCTTAATGTCACCTTTATCATTTTTGATGGTGGCTATTTGATCTTACCTCTCTCTTTTTCTAGTCAGTCTAGCTAAAGATGTATCAGTTTTGTTGATTTCTTCAAAGAACAAACTTTCACTTTGCTTTTGGTTCTCTCTTCCATTTAGTTCTACTTAACATTATTTTATTTTTCTGCTAACTTTATATTTGGTTCATTGTGGCTTTAGTTCGTTGAGGTATAATGTTAGGCTGTTAATTTGAGACCTTTCTATATTTTTGATGTAGGCATTTAACATTATAACCTTCCCTCATTAGAATTGCTTTTGGCTGTGATCCTAATGCTTTGGTAGGGTGTGTCTTCATTTTCTTTAATTTAAATTGTTTTTTAATTCATTTTAATTGTATCTTTACCTAAAAATCATTATAAGACTAAGTTGTTTAATTATCATTTATGTGTATAGTTCTGAAAGTTTTTCTTGGTATTGATCTCTAGTTTAACTCCACTGGGACCTGAGTAGATACTTTATATGATTCTGGTCTTTAAAATTAGTTTTAGATCTGTTTTGTGGCCTAGGATTTGACCTATTTTGGAAATTATCTTATGTGCAGATGAGAATAATGTATCTTATGTGGTTGTTATATAGAATGTTCTGTAAATATCTGTTATGTCTATTTCATCTAGAATTTAATTTGAGTTCAGAGA